CAAATGCTTTTTCTGCATCAATTGAGATAATTATGTGGTTTTCTTCTTCTTCATTATGTTAATGTAATATATTACATTGGTTTTCACGTTAATTCAATCTTACATCCAGGAATAAATCCCCCTTGATCATGGTATATAATCCTTAAGGTGCTGCTTAATTTTGTTGGCTAGTATTTTGTTGAGGATTTTTATATGAATGTGCAAAAGGGATATTAATCTGCAGTTTCCTTGCGGTATCTTTGCTAGCTTTGGTATCAGGGCAAAACTGGCCTCACAGAATGAACTAGGCAGTGTTTCCTCCTCTTAAATTTTTTGGCACAGCTTGAAGATTTACGTTAATTCATTAAATATTTGGTAGAATTCTCCAGAGAAGCCATCAGATCTAGGGCATTCTTTGTCAGGAGGTTTTTTATTACTGATTAGATCTCCTTACTAATTATAAGTGAACTCATAGTTTCTATTTCTTAATAATTCAGTCTTAGTAGGTTTTGTGTTTCTAGGAATTTGTCCATTTAATCTGGGATATCCGATTTGTTGGCATACACTTGCTCTTAATACTCTCTTATAATCCTTTTTATTTCTGTGAATCAATAGTAATGTCCCACTTTCATTTCTGATTTTAGTATTTTCGTCTTCTACCCTTTTATTCTTATTTAGTCTAGCTAAAGATTTATCAATTTTGTTGGCATCTTCAAAGAACAACTTTTGGATCTGTTTCTTTTCTTTTTCTTTGAGACAGAGTCTCGCTCTGTCACCCAGACTGGAATGCAATGGTGCAATCTCAGCTCACTGCAAACTCTGCCTCCTGGGTTCAAGGGATCCTCCCACCTCAGCCTCAAAGGTAGCTGGAATTACAGGTGCACACCACCATGCCCGGCTAACTTTTGCATTTTTTGTGGAGACAGTGTTTTGCCACGTTGGCTAGGCTGGTCTTGAACTCCTGGCCTCAAGTGATTCACCTGCCTTGGCCTCCCAAAGTGCTGGAATTACAGGTGTGAGCCACTGTATTTTTTATTTAATTTTTTTTTTGTTCTCTATGCTTTGATCTTTGTTATTTCCTTCCTTCTGCTAGCTTTGAATTTTGCTATTCTTTTCTAGTTCTTGAAACTTTAAGTTAGGTCATTGATTTGAGATCGTTCTTCCCCGTGGAGGAAATTCATAGCTATAAATTCTTATATCTAAAAAGAAGAGTAGGCCGGGCGCGGTGGCTCAAGCCTGTAATCCCAGCACTTTGGGAGGCCGAGGCGGGTGGATCACAAGGTCAAGAGATCGAGACCATCCTGGTCAACATGGTGAAACCCCGTCTCTACTAAAAATACAAAAAATCAGCTGGGCATGGTGGCGCATGCCTGTAATCCCAGCTACTCAGGAGGCTGAGGCAGGAGAATTGCCTGAACCCAGGAGGCGGAGGTTGCGGTGAGCCGAGATCGCGCCATTGCACTCCAGCCTGGGTAACAAGAGCGAAACTCCGACTCAAAAAAAAATAAAAAATAAAAATAAATTAAAAAAAAAATAAAAAGAAGAAAGATGGCTTTTGTTGCATCCTCTAAGTTTGATATGTTATATTTTCATTTTTATTTATCTCTAAGTATTTTCCAATTTCCCTCTGTGATTTCTTCCTTCTCTTCTAAAAGGAGGTCCTAGCATATCGTTCCTTGATAAGCTACAAGAAAGTTTTAGTCTGTCCAGTGGGATACCCCACTAGTCCCTCTCATGAGTAGACGAGAATAGTGGTTACCAGAGGATGGGGAGGGTGACTGGGGAGCAGGGGTAATGAGATTGTTCAGTGAGCACAAAGCTGCAGTTAGGGGGAATAAGTTCTGCTGGTCTATTGCATACTAGGATGACTACAGTTAACAATAATGTCTGTTCCAAAGAGCTAGAGGAGAGGTTTTTTAATGTTATCCTCACAAAGAAATAAATGGTCAAAGTGATGGGTGTGCTAATTATTCTCATTTAGTCATTGCACAATTTATACAAGTATCGAAACATCACATTACACTCCATAAATATGCACACTTATTATGTGCCAGTCACAATTTTTTTTAATGTACATAGGATAATGTTCCAATGAGCAAGAAGGTCAGGATAGCTAACAAATTCTTTGAATAAAATATAATACAGTAGGATGATTTTTTAAAAACTGGGGTAAGAAAGAATATTTTGCTGGGCACAATGGCTCACAGCTGTAATCTCAGCACTTTGGGAGGCCAAGGTTGGTGAACTGCTTGGGCCCAGGAGTTCAAGACCAGCCTGAGCAACATGGGAAAAACCCATCTCTACTAAAAATACAGAAAATTAGCCAGGTGTGGTGGTGCGCACCTGTAGTCTCAGCTACTCGGGAGGCTGAGGCAGGAGGATGGCCTAAGCCAGGGAATTTGAGGCTGCAGTGAACCATGATTACACCACTGCACTCCAGGCTGAGCAACAGGAGTGAGACACTGCCTCAAAAAGAGAAAGAATATTTGTAGAATATATAAAAGTTATCTAATAGTATCAACAGTGGGTAATAGGAAGGAATCAGTATTGTAATACTCAGACTTGTCAAGGTATAAAATGTAAAGGAAGGAGAGCTGAATTAAGAGAAAACTATATTTTAACAATTAACAATGTGGGCTAATTTTTAAATAAACCATATAAATACCAGGGCTATGTAGGAAAAGCTCACACCGGTTTTGCTATTGGTTTCCCATATGCCTTACAGCTCTTTGGTTCCTCGTTTCCTACGTTACTATCTTCTTTTGTTTAGCTGGGGTTTTTTGTAATGAAATGTTTTAATTTTGTTCTCCTTCCCTTTTTTGTATATTCTATAACATTCTCTTTAAGGTTGCCATGGAGATTACACTTCGCATCCTGAAGTTATGACACTCTAATTTGAATTTATGCCAGCTTAACTTTGATAGATACAAAAACTCTGCTCCTATACTGCTGGCTCCCCACCCCTTTCAGTTATGGATATCATAAAATTATATCTTTATACATTGTGTGTCCAAAAACATAACTAATAATTTTTTAAAAAATGCATTAGTCTCTAAAATCACATAGAAAACAAAATGTGGAGTCGCAAACCAAAGTTACAACAATACTAGCTTTTAGACTAATAATTGTATTTTATACTGGAAATTTTATGATTATTTTTACTTCTATATAAATTTTTTCAAAAGCAGCATTTTGGTTTAGAGAGAAGAAAGAAGATGAGGAAACTTTTTTAAAGACTAAGAAGGACACCGTTGTAATTCCAGCACTTTGGGAGGCTGAGGCAGGCAGATCACGAGGTCAAGAGATCGAAACCATCCTGGCCAACATGGCGAAACCCCCCTCTACTAAAAAATACAAAAACTAGCTGGGCGTGGTGGCAAGCGCCTGTAGTCCCAGCTACTCGGGAGGCTGAGGCAGGAGAATTGCTTGAACCTGGGAGGCAGAGGTTGCAGTGAGCCGAGATC